GGAATGAAGAGAAATGCTTTACCACAATCTTGGCACATCTGTGCTAAGGAGTGTGATGGACGCAGCACCCTTCCTAGACCATTTATTTAAACCAGGGAAAGGTCATGGATTGCAATTCACTCTCCTGACCAGCTGGACACAGCGAATGTTTTATGGGTGGGAATGAGAGTGAGAAACAAAACACTCCCATTTCTACTCTTTAAAAAAAAAAGGGCCCAAACCACCTAAAATAGCCCCAAACTGTGCTGCTTAAAATAAATTAGCGAAATCAATAGAAAACTTGCAATTTCAGGCCCTTTTCCGGGGGTTAGGTGGTGGTGGTGAACTGTACACATGGCTATACTTCCCTAAGACCTCCCATTTTAATTTTTAAAAAGATACGATTGCCTTGTCAAAAACTGGCCCTGTTGCTAACAAAATCCAGAGGAAAAACCTCAAGGCTGCGGGTGCATGTAGACTATAGACTATAGTTTACTTAACCAAAATGGTCAGGGACAGATAAGCAAAACCCACATGAATCCAAATTCAGGCAGCTTTCTCTATTGCTCAGTCTCATGTAGAACAGAACCTGTAGTGGATCTTCCACCAGTCCTTAAGTCAGCAGAAAAAGCACACTGGTATAAATTCTGCCCCATTGCCTATCCCTAATGTCCAAGTCTAAGCGGAACTAGCAAAGGGCGCTGTCCATAAACACCTGTTGCAGGCCAAGTTAAGAAAAGGAATTCGTGGATTCCCCCATTTTTGCTTCCTGTTGCAGGTTCTTTTCTTGAACCACCAATAACCAGATTGACCCAAACTCAAAAGACACCAAGCACTGAAAACTTGGAGAGTTGGTTGGTTTTTGTATCTTCTCCCTTCAGTGGCTGGGGAGAAACTTTTGTTTTACAAATTTAAAAAAGGCATTGTAAATTATAAATGCCTTCAGCTAGTGCAAAAATGAATCTTATAATAAAACTATTTTCTATTTTAACTATCTACAGTATCTTCTATAGGCTCTTTGATGATGGTGATGATGATGATGATGATGATGATGATGATGATGATGATGATGATGATGATTACATGCCATCAAGTCATTGTCAATTCTTAGCAACCACATACAGGTAGTCCTTGCTTACTGACTGCCTTTTTAATGACTGTTCGAGATTACGAAGGTGTAAAAAAATAGCTTTGAGACCAAACCTCGCATTTATGACCATTGCAGTGTCTCGTGATCATGTGATCACCATTTGGGTACTTTGTAACTGGTGTGCACTTACAACTGCCACAGCATCCTCCAGTCACCTGATTGCTATTTGTGTGCTTCACAACTAGCTTGCAACAGACAGAGTTAATAGAGAAGGCAGAAGTAAAATCGTAAGTTGTGATCACATGTTTCACTTAATGACCATGGCGCTTAGCAATGGAGTTGCTGGTCCCAACTGTGGTCATTGAGGATTACCTATAGATAGCTTTTCTCCACGACAACCTGTTCCTAACCTGGTCTTTCAGCTCTTCCAAAGGTACCCCCATCACTACTATAACTGAATCCATCCACCTTGGTGCTGGTCATCCTCTTCTTGCGGGGATAAGCTCTTTATCTACCTTATTCTTTAAAGTCCAATTTCACTATATTCTCATAGTTTTCTATTTTGTATCTCCAATATATTTGTTTATGGCTGAACTCTATATTCCTGTTGTCTTAATCCCTGTATTGTCACTCTCTTTAGAGCTATACTCCTTTTTCTACTGAGTTCAATCTGTCTTTTATCTTTTTCAGTTTCTGTTTTCTATTTCTGTTCTGTCAAAGCCTTGGATTTTTCTTAGCCTTTTCAGCTTGTTTGTGCCTGGCTGGGCTCCTTGACCTTTCTCTTCTTTCCAATCTTAGTTCTATCTGAGGGAAACAGCTCGAAGGACATTCCCCTCACGCCAGTCTGAGGGAAGGAAAAAACACCTCTTCCCCCAGTTTTCTCAGCTGCTGCCTCTTTTCTGGTTGCCTCTTTCCCAGTTGCCCATTTCTCATTGTTTAGTTTGCCTCTTTATTTGGCTCCTGGGCTGTGGCTTTGTTTATTCAGCCTCTTCCTCGTGAGGATTGTGGCTGCAGAGCTCCCAGGCAGCCATCTTGCCTTCCCTCCTTCTCCCCTGCTATTTGATTGGCAGCTGATGTTTGATTTGCAGTTGGCTCATCCTAACGATGGAGGAGGGCCAAGAAGGGAGGGTGAGGAAGGAGCACAGGGGCTTCTAGCCTGCTCATGTGGGCTGTCCTTCCACACTTCCTCTCTTTGGGTTTTTTTAAGGAAAAAAAACACAGGATTAGTGTGTTTCAAAAGAGCACTAAGGTCTCTTCTGCATAATCCACTAACTACAAGTGGGCAATACTTCAGCAATTGCATTCAAAAAGCTTGAAAAGATGACAAGAGTCAGTGTTCAATGTCAACCTCAGGGCCAATAGGAACTGGAGAGATTCAAACCTCTGACCAGGTCAGCAACCCCATAATTGGTGAACAGTGCCAGTTCATATTCAGGGCCAAACCATCAGGAGAAGAGAAAAACCTTACTTTAGGACTGGAACAACCAAGAACAAATTTAAGCTGCCTCAACTGTAGGCTAGGGATGAAATCAAAGCAACATGGAGCAGGGTTCATTTGTACTTCAGTTAGGGGGATGTTAAGGAATCACCTGGAAGATACCTAGTAAAGTCATCCAAGATAACAACTAATACATTTGAATTTTGCCTTCTTGGAACTGGTGTCACAAGGGATTAAATGCTTTTATGAAAGAGGATTGGAAAGCAGAATGTTTCCTAACTAGAATTCTGGGGTATTAAGCATTCTTGATTCCTTCTCTCCTTTTTTTCTCCATTGCATTGCTTGACCTAGTTATTTCAAGGCCACCTTTAGATTATATTTCCTTTGCTCACAAAAAAAGCAGTCTGAGATCTTGGCGTACAGCATTTCAAATCCTGCCATAAGCAATGCCTCAGGGTTTTGCTTGAAAGTTGACTGCAAAGGGAGAGAAGAGATGTACATATCGCCACATTTCTTTCCAATCCTAACAGGTTAGTGAAGTAGCCCAAACAGTTTCAAAGGGAAAAAAAGGAGAAAGCTTATGAGCCCTGATATTGAGGGGAAAATCATATTCTTATCCATTTTCAGTTCATCTGTTAGAAGATCCCGGCTGGGTTTGTATAATACATTGAACCAGATTTAGCAGCTGCATTTGTATAACATGCTAAACTTGGTTAGTTTTAATCCTGATTAGCTTTTTTGTGCCATAGTCTTCTCTGTGAACTCAACTGTTCAGTTAGTTTATAATTTAATGTTAAAAGGCCTCTTTATCTGACTAGTAGTCTAGTATAGGGCTTGGTTACCCGTCTCTACCCCCATTAACCTTGACAATTCTTGTGCTGATGTCTGGTTTATTTTAATTATCCATAGAATATACATGGTTATATCACAGGACATTGTTTTAAATATGTGTGATTGATGTGTGAATTTGTCTTACTACTTGTTTACTGGTTTGGCTGTTAAATTTTGAACTAATTTAATTGGATTGATTTTGTAATTACTGTGTTTTTCCAAATTGTACTGCATCTTGGTAAAGGCATTCATAAATTATTGTTATTGTTGCTACTATGCAAGCCCTGAAAATGGGTTAATGGAGTAACCAGGTTAAACATGTTGTGCAACTGCAGCCCATGAGAGCTGTAGAAAAAATATTGAGGCAGCTCTGATTGGAATTGTCTAGGATCCATGTTTAACTAGACAGAATGTTTATGCACAGGACCAAGCCCATTTTAATTAAGTAACCAATTTAAGAATAATCATTTGCCGATCAAGTGCACTCCATATGAAGAATCATAGAGTGTGTGAATTGGAAGGGCTGTTATAAGTAATCTAGTCCAACTTCCTGCTCAATGCAGAAATTCACTGATCCCAAGAAGTTATCCATTTCCCCATTTGAAAACATCCAGTGGGAGGGAATCTACCATTGTTCTAGACTGACAGTTCCATTAGTTAACACCTCTTACCATAATCAATTCCTCCTAATATTCCTCCATAGAAAAATATTCTTTTTTAATCTGTTGAACTTTGTCCTGACCTCAGTTTCAACATAGAACAGGTCTGTCCTTTCTTGTGCTTGACAGCCCTTTTATATCTTTGTAGACAGCTATCATATCTCCCCTCTGCTTGCTCTTTTGCAAGCTAAAATGGCCATCTCCTTTAACCATTCTTCACAGGGTTTGTTTTCTACATCCCTTATCATCCTGGTGGCTCTCCTCTAAACCTGCTTCAGTTTCTCCATGTCCCCTTTAAATGTGGTGTCCGTTTTCAGCATTGGTGATGAGACTGGTTACTGTGCTTGCATGTTAAATATAAGACAGTTTTTAGAAACCAATTAGTGGATTCCCCTGGCTTGTTTCCCCTCCAATTCAGTGTCATTTGCCAATAGAAAGAATGATCAATCGTTGTCTGTAGCATGGAGAGGGCATAGACTTAGGTGACTATGGGCAAGTGCCTCGGATGAGAGTTTTAGCTATCTTTCAAATTGCCCTAGTGACAGATCATTGATGTGGTCTAACATGTGTTTAGCACCCTTCTAAAAAGTGCTGAATTTGTTTAAACATGCATCTAGCAATTTTCTGGAGGAGCAGTAAACCTGGTTCTAAAATATAGTCCAGCTGATAGATTCCATGTGTGGCTGAAAGATGGAGGCTGAAGTGTAAGCTCTCATGGAAGATCTCTCCCACTTCATCTGCACCCTCCGTGTTGGAGGGCTAAGGACTGCATATGACCTTGAATTGGTATACTAAGGATTAAATTATAAAATCAGCAAGGGAGGACAAGGAAGTGGGTGGAACCAGAATAAAAAGCCTAAAGACTAAAAATATCCTAATGGTATGATTATTTGAAAGGCAAATGTGTGATTATGATAAGATGCAACGTAAGTTGTTAAGGAATGAAATGAGACCAATTCCACAGCTTGTCCTCTAACCACTCTCCTTTTCCTTATGAACCCAGGAGTCATTCTGTGCATGTTCAGGTGTGATAGAGAAGCTGCAGTACGCAAGCCTCCTTGGCCGCTTGCAGCGCACCAAGGAGCAATCTCAAGTGATCAATCAAGCTATGGCTGAGCTTGCAACTGTTCCTTACCTCCAAGATATCAGCCAGCCAGATGCTGAACTGGTAAGCATACTGGTTTTCAGTCCTTTTGGGATTGTTTTGGAGGTCAAAGAAGGAAGGAAGCCAGAATTTTATTGTTGTTTTCTGCTCCTTAGGAATATGTACTGGGACTCTGAAGTCTTGGGCACAGGCAGAACATTCTGGCAAAGTCTGGGCTAAGCATATGAAGTGCCAAGATGCAGACCTATTTTTTATGGCCATTCCCTCATCTCTTTGTTGTATTATGAAACGCTGTAAATTATCATTTCCATTGTTAGCATTCCATGGCATATATGATGCAATACAGTAACAAGAAGAGGAACACAATAATCTAAAGTCAAATAGACAGCAGGGATGTAAAAGTATTTTGTGCCATGGATCTCTTGCAACCATGTTTGGTGGTGGGGCAGGGGGGCAGCATAGTTCTCAGCAGATCCATGATAGGACGAATACTATTGTAGTAGGAATCAGATCTAGATAGGATTGTTTGTTCTTGGGAGGAAAAAATACTCCAATCCACTTCTGAAAGTGCTTGAGGGCACTAAGGCTTGTTGTTGTTGTTTTTCAAAAAAAAAAATGTCCCCCATGCTCATAAGCTGCTTCTCAGTGTCATCATGTGGTCATCCAAGAACCATTAGAAAGAAGCAAATTTTGCTGAGAATCCATACTATTATCAGTGCTACCTCACACATTTCCAAAAGAAGTATGTCCCTCTTTGGCCCTTAAAATACCCAGGAAATTAGTTTTACTCAAAATCCAGGAGAAACCACCCAGAGCAGAAAACTGCCCTACAAACCAGATAGTAAAATGGGTCAGATTTTTGCAAACCCACATATCCAGCCATCCTTCCCGGAGCTATCTGCTGGAACATGTTCACTAGTGGATGAACAACGGCGTCCCATCCACAGTGTCAGGCTCCCATTGAGGAATTTATCATTAAAACCACAGGAGATCTTCTGCTGGATCAGTTAAAAATACAGCTAATTCTGGGCATTGTTCCCCACTGCAACCAACCAAAAGCTATCCGAAAGCCTGCAAGCAAGGAAGGGAATACTGTGCAATGACACAATTCCTGCTTTGCAGGCAGGCCACTAGTTGCCTGTGTTCACACAACACACGTATTCAGACCCAGAAAGATGAGCAGATGCATTTGTACAACATGCTAAGCTTAGTGTTTGAACAGTTTAGCATCTTGTGCTATCCTTGTCCATTTCCTTGGTTTAAGTTTCAAAGTACTGTGCAAACCTAGAAAATGAATTAGTGTAGGAACCATTCTAAGCTTGTGAGAATAAAGACCCTGTGAAAAAAATGGAGGTAATTCTGATTGGAATTCATTGGGATCCATATTTAGCAGAGTACACACGTGTAATATAATCAAGCCCAATATAAGTATTTAGAGAGAGATGCTTATGTCCATAAGGATAAGTAAAATTAATTAAAAAGGGAGATGCTCTAAATAGAAGCTAGCACCTTTAAGCTTTCTATATGGTGGGAGAAAGAAGAACAAAGAAAGTACTCTTTTTTACAAGAAGCAAGATGAAGAGGAGATTTTAAGAGTATCCATCTTCCAATCAGGAGGAAACAGAGCAGAGCCACAGAGAGAAACAAGGAGGGAGTCTCTCCCTTGCTGTCTCCCTTGCTAGTACTCTAGTAGTCAATAGGATAAAGAGTTGGTGCTTCTGGATAGATCCTGCTGAGAGAAGGATTGCTTAGGGTCATGCGGTACACTCAGTGACTGTTTAAGAAATTGGGGAGGGGGGGCATTATAAATGTAATGGGATATATTTAGACAAAGAATTATTCCTATTTAATGTATTAAAAAC